ATAAGACAAATGCATGGGAATTTTCGTGCAACAAATTTATTGAAAATTTCGAAATAAAATCTACTTACGTTATTTATATTTTTCTATACTTGATATGATAATTCGACATCCGGGCTACTAAAATAATCAGCTAACTTGTTTCGTACATCTAAAGCACTAATTTGTACTTAGTTATTTGAAATGTTACCATCGTGGTATATTGATAATGTTGAAGTGTTACTGGTTTCTTGAATGGTTTTTGTTTTAATTATCTACATAATTATGTAAAATACAAATGGCTCGAACAATATTTTCCGTGAATATAATATTGATATTGAGTGGTCTATGCAATATTCTAAATTTTCTGGCCATGATACCAAACTTACATCATTATATATTATTATATTGGCATATCTTGGAATATTTACTATAGTTATTTAGACAAAATAAAGGTGAGGAACGTTTTCTAATATGTGTTAAATTATTTTTTAATCTTTTCTTTTTTTTTTGTAACAATATTAACTAACAAGAGTAAAGCTTCTTCGTCGGAATCCATCGCGTAACTGACAAACATCTCTAAAATTTACCGAAGCATTACTGACGCGCGTCTACTGCAACACAATCGCACAACTGTAGCGCTTCTTTTTGGTAGCACCACCGCAGCGCTTTTTCACGCCTCTAATTTGAAGGCGCCGTTAGTCTTAATGGCTTCTTAATGGCAAATTACCCCTCAGTTAATAAAAAACCGTTATTTCGATATTACAGGCAGATATTTCAATTTGATGTATGTGTACAGATGTAGGTATAGATTTGTAATTGAAAAAAATTACAATAACCAATACCTTCATAATAAAGTTTACGACGTGCACAACAAGAACCTGTGATCTGCACCACATTATTTCTGAGTAAAAAGAAATTCAATGATCAACGCAGCTTTATCAAAATGATGGTGGGTAATACAGGCAGCTATTAGATTTTTATTGAAAGGTACACGAGCATAAGGCTTACTCTACTTGACAGTAATCGTAAAACACGACCGTCATCGAAGAGCGTACACAAACCCATAGAATTATTGCATTTGTATCCTATCTCTTAAAAAAGAGTAGGCTCTTTACTTAAAGGTACTAAAGGAATTTTACTATCACGCTCTATCACATTGTAAACATAGCAGTTTTTATAAATCAATATTAAAATTTAATAAGGGGGATAAGTCGCTCGCGTCCGTAGGCTTTGACCACCTATTCCTAGGCCCACCCTACACGTGTCCCCCGGGTGGTGCTAAATGAGCGCCAAGCCGATACCACAGACTTGGCTCCACGCCGTGGTAGTGGCGTAAAATATACTACCCCATATTTCGCACCATGAGGAACCATATAAAAGAAATGGCCCCAAGTTCCCGGCGCCCTTTTAATGGGGCAGGGGTGCGAAGAATCTCCGAGAGGAAAACCGGTGACGAGGTTTGCCACCCGTCACGTTCTGTCTCCCGGAGAGGCGAAAAGTGGGTTGTAGAGGCCCGTCTGGCTAGGTTGAATGTATGTGGGGCAATGAATGATAAAATGGATGAAGTATGCGATATGATGTATGATAGAGGAATACATGTGTTATGTGCAAATGAGACGAAAAGGAAGGGGAAGGATGTCACTACACATGGCATGTATACCGCATACTGGTCTCGTGCAGACGAGATTGAGCGGCCATGCTAGGGAGTAGGTATCATCCTTTCAGAAAGAATGGGCCAATGTGTGAAAGAGTATGAATGTGTAAGGCCAAGACTGCTATGGATACGAATGAAAGTGGGTTTAAAGAAGTTGTTTGTATTAGGGGTCTACGCCCCAGACATGTCTAAACCCACTTATATCCGAGAGAAGTTTTGAGAAATGGTAAGAATGGTGTTAATGAAGTGTAAGGGAAATGAAAATATTATTTTGCTAGGAGATTTTACACAGTTGGGGTGAGGAGGCTTGGTGATGAAAGTATAAATGTGAATGGTGAAAGTCTCCTCACCGTATGTATGGAAAAGAATATTTTTGTGACGAACACTTGCTTTCGCCACAAGAGGATTCACATGTATACTTGGGTACTTGGGGAAGCATGATAGATTTCATAATTGTGGATGAAAGATTAGGGAGCGCAATGGTAGATACAAGGGTTTACCGGGGTTCTAACGTAGGAACGGATCATTATTTGGTTTTATGCCGAATTAATGGTCTATTCAGGTGTTGGCGCCATCGATCACCTGTGTCTACCACTGCGTTACAGCGTATTAGATCAGAAAAGTTACAAGATGAAGGTGAGAAAAACCAGTTCAAATGTAGACTGAAAGAAAATATAAGTGGTTTGGATGAATTATGTATGAAGGAGTTAGACTTGGAGAATGTATGGCAAAACGTAAAGAAAGGTTTAGTGGATGCAGCTACCGAAGTATGTGATTTTAGTAAGAGAAAGAATGAAAGGAAAAATAATGCGTTATGGTAGGATGATGAGATACGTATGGAAGTTGAAGCAAAGAAGAGAGCATGGATAGATTTACTAGCAACAAAGGCTGGTAATTCTAGCGGTACGAATGATGATATTGAAAGAAAAAAGGCAGTCTTTAGACATCTTAATAAGAGAGTAAAAGAAGTAGTTGAAAGAAAAAAGCAAGAAAGAACGGATAAGAATTTCGGATAACTTCCAGGCAAATATTAAAATGTTCTGGAAAATTGTAAGAACTGCCAGGGGACATTCAAAACAGCCTATGATGAATGCTATAAGAGATAAGAATGGCTATATTCTGAATGATGAATTTTTGAGTTTAAAGAGATGGAAGGAATATTTTGAAAGCGTGTTTATGAGTGAGGAGACAACGTGTGTACTAAGTGAAGTAGAAACTTCGAAAGAAGAGGAAAGAGGTAACGAGATGAGTATAGATGAAATAATGAAAGCAATGAAAAGCATGAAAGCAGATAAGGCTGCTGGATATGATAGAGTTCCACTCGAAATGCTAAGGGCTGGAGAGGAAGTCGTGGCAGGCCTGCTGCACACCTTGTTTAATTTATGATGGGAACTGAAGCGGGTACCGGAAGACTGGTGCAAAGCCGTGATAGTCCCAGTATATAAAGGAAAAGGGTCGCAGCAGGACTGTAAAAACTACCGTGGCATCAGCCTTCTTAGCATTGTGGGAAAACTGTATGCTAAGGTACTGATTGAAAGGGTCATGAAAGATACTGATGGAAAAATTTGGGATGTGCAAGCGGGATTTAGAAAGGGAAATGGGATGTACAGATTAAGTCTTTTCCGTGCGCATGATCGCGGAGAAGTTTCTGGCCAAAAACCAAAAGGTTTTTTGTGCGTTCATGGACTTGGAAAAGGCCTATGACAGAGTGGATAGGGATGTGCTATGGCAAACACTGAACTCATTTGGGTTGAGCGCTAGCTTGATACAGGCATTGGAGTCTCTTTATAGTCACTCTAGTGCTTGTGTTAGGATCAACGGGGTCTACTCGGATTGGTTGGCCATCCATAAAGGTGTCAGACAGGACTTTGTGGCTTCCCCGTGGCTGTTCAATCTATTTATGGACAGTTTTTTGCAAAATTTGAAAGTTCAAGAATGCGGATTAAGAATGGGTGAGTTAACCGTCAAATGCCTTTTGTACGCTGATGATGAAGTTATCCTTGCATCGTCGGCGGCCGAGTTACAAATGATGGTTACATTAATGAACAGATCATTAAAAGAAAGGGGTATGAAAGTGAACGCAAGTAAGACGAAAGTTATGGTTTTTGAAAGAGAAGAAAGTAAAACGATTTGTGAAATAAGAATAGAAGGGGAGTTGATCGAGCAAGTAGATGAGTTTGTATATTTGGGCTGCGTATTTAGCAGGGATGGGAGATATGATAAGGATATAGAACGACGAATGAATGCGGGAAATAGAGTGAATGGGGCCCTGCACTCTATTGTGAAGAGTCAAAATGTGTCAAAAAAGGCACGTATGGCAATTCACAATGCTGTGTTGGTCCCTACTTTAACGTATGGTAGTGAAAGTTGGGTGTGGCAGAAGAAGCACGAGATTAGAATCAACGCAGTAGAAATGCGGTCGTTAAGGAGTATGTTAGGGCTGAATCTGAACGACAGGGTAAGAAATTGTGTAATAAGAGAAGAGTGTGGTTTGCAAGATGATATTGTGACCAGAATTAAGAAAGAAATGCTTCGGTGGTTTGGTCATGTGGAAAGAATGAATGAGGAAAGAGTGACAAAGAAAATGTATGTTGCAGAAGTGAATGGCAGAGTCGGAAAGGGACGTCCTAGGTGAAAATTTATCGACCAAATTGGTGATTTATTGAAAACGGGCCAAATTAGGAGTACCCTTAACCGACGAGCATGTATGCGTAGGTGTATGGATGTGAAGGAGGCGAGAGAGGTGTGTCAGGATCGTGCCAAATGGAAGTCTGTAGTCTCTGCTTACCCCTCTGTGTGACAGGCGTGAGTGTTTATGTTATGTATGCAAAATTTAATAATTTGATTAAATAAGATTAAAGTTGTGGTACAAGAAAATACACGGTATTGAATTGTCAGCTATCAAGAAGATGTGGAATTTATAATTGCTTGCTTTATAAAAGCTTATTATATCAATTTAAAATACCCCATCAGCACTACGAATATTATTTATATTTTTGATCTAGTCCGTGCTTTGGGTAGACAACTGATAAACTACTTTTATTTCTAATACTCTCTACTATGGTGAATACCGGCAATTTATGATAAAAAAATAAACAAGTACACTTGTATGCGATATTATTTTGATTACCAACCTGTTTTCACGCTTACCATTGTCATTATAAATACGTATTTCTACTGATATAACCTTAAATGAAAACTTAATAAAGACAACTTAATGACCTAAAATAATATTTTTATTACATAAAAAACTAAACAACTACAAAACATACTTTGTTATAAACAAGTTTTCGAGGTCAAGTGGAATAAATTCCATAGTCAGACGTTTCTGATACGTGAAGTCGTCACATCGTGAATCGATACAAATATGAAGCAATTATTTCTCGCCATTGTATCATTAACCATCATAACTTTAGTTAGCACAGTAGAATATAAAGATGAACTATTTTACGACTATGAAGAGCCTGAAGTTAGATCAGAAAAAATATCTGAAGAGAGTGAAACTTCCGCAGATGACAAACCTACTTACAAATTGAAGGATGCTCCGAGACTTTTTACGGAATTCATTAAAGATTACAATAAGAAATACATAGATGAAGCGGACTTTTACAAACACTATAAGAACTTTGTCGCTAATTTGGAGGAAATTATTCGAATTAACAAGGAAAATAAGGATTCAGTTGCTGACATTAATATGTTTGCGGATTTAGATGAAAAAGAAATGGAGCCTCTGGTCGGGTAGAGAACTATAAATACTTACTTAGAAATAAAGGTAAGACCGTTAATTATTTCATCATAAGAAATTATATTTATTAAATAATTACATATAAATTACTATTCATATAATTTAAGAAACCGTCGAAAAATCTATTTTAATTATATTTGGTACTGTATTTTAATTTCCTATATTTATAGCGCTCCAAAATGTACTATGGATATTTACAACAATATAGCTATTTAGCTAATTGTTAAAAATGTACAGAAAAGGTTAAAAATATTGTTCTTAAATATTTAAATTATTTCATATATAATTCGTGTCCTTAAGTCAGAAACTAAAAAATAATTTCACACAAAACACAAAAATTCCACATCAAAAAAAAAAACATTAGTAACATTTTCAACAATTTCATCATATTCGGCATAAGTCATAGGGCAGTTAATATTAAAAAAGCTGTTATTTGCATATTTAAATCCATATAGAATCTTTTATTATTCCTTTTCTCTCTCTCTCTCTCTCTCTCTCTCTCTCTTCTCTTATTATTTGGGTTATTTTATGTAGAATTAACATCTGGTAAGTTGGGCTTTTTTTAGTATACATTTTTTTTTGCCTTGCCTTAGGCAATGAAAGACATACTCGTACTGCGCCTTTGCGTACATTTGCAAAGTTTAATTAAACTTATTTTAAAATTTTGGTCTTAATGTAATAATAAAAAAAATACAAGATGATTCTGTCTCTTTAAGACGTGAAAAATTAAGTTTTTAACGAAATAACACAATTGTCATAGGAATCGTCACATTATACAAATGTATACAAAGAAAGAAAACGGGAAGGCAATGGAATACAATGCCGCGTCTTTATTACTCAAACTCAAATAAATGGATTTATCAAATCCGTGGAATATAAAATGGAACAATGCATTAAAATATATTTGTTAATTAACAAATGTTGAACTAAATTTGATTTGTGATATGACACAATTGAAATTTAAAAGATTTAATATCAATTGAGTATAAAACCTTTTATTGGAAAATAATGATGTTTTTACCTGAATCTGTGTTCTAACCCCACAGTTTACACACACTTTAATACTTTATAAAGTTTTTAATATTTTCTAAAGTTTAAATGATACTGCTTGTGTGGTGATGTATACCATGAGAAATTTAGATGGACCAGGCATTGATACCAGGTGCTTGGTATTAATTGCACTTTACAGTAGTAATTCAAGTCGTATAGACACTCATTATGACAAACATTGTGAGACAATCTGCGGATCTCAGAAATCGGAGTTGAGTCGAAGACTTATGTATTCTATTAGAAAAGCAATTCAATACAAAAACTACGTCACAGCTGTAGATCATGCGGGTGCAGGCGCCGGCTGGGCCGGATGGTACCTGGCACGGTAAATATACCACTTATTGTATTTTAATTTACAACTATTACTGTCGTTAGGCTAATACGGAATAGAGTTACGTACTTATGTGAAATAAACTTCAAAAAATGATAGTAGATTTCTGAAACAACATAGTGATTTTAAAATTTAGTTGTAGTATAATTAAAGAAATAAAAAAATTCACATGCATACGAGTAGCATGCTAATGCGTCATTAAAGAAGGATGTTACGCGATATAATTATTTTACTTATATCATTAATTACATGTATGGATGTAAGAATATAAAAATAATAAATATAATAAAAAATTAATAAATAATATAACAAAGGTTTCCAACTTATTTTAATGGAATGACGTAATTAATGGTTTCTAACTAAGGCGCATTTATAATCTGTTGTAAAGAATTCTGCATTCAAGCGGTTACGCCTCGTAGAGAAAGGGTTGGCAGGGCGGGCGTAATGAATTAAATTAGCTCCCAGTGATAACCTCTCCACACAATTTCGTCCCTACGATTTGGGTATGTTTTAATGTTTAAAACCGATTACTACAACCGCCACAGGACTTTTATATTTTGAAATAGAAATTTAAATTATATTTATATTAAAATTATTAGATAAGGTTATTATTAAACTAAATATGTTTCTTTAAACGTACTACACTCATTATTCCCAATAACATTAAGCTACTAAAATATATTATTTTAGTAATATTATTCAGTAGTACCTAAACTACCTATATTAAAGAATATACACATTAACAATTTGATGTACTACTGTAAAGAAGACGGTGTCTGTTGATTTCGACTAAAAGTTTTTAATTACGTACGTATTATCATCGAACGCTTATGAAAAAACGTGTATGCAATTAAATTCGAGGTAGAGTAGACATAGAGTTAGCAAATCGATAGTAAGGTTAAAAACAGTTAATCTATGCCATATTACATTTCGAACTCTGAACGAGCCACGGAACGTAGTTCACTCAGAAATGTTTGCTAAACTAAAATAAAGTACTATGGTTAAAGTTTTAAATCTTTTCAAATACCTCTTCACCAGCATGTATACAAAGTTGTATGCGTCTGAATCAATTTTCTATTTTTTTTTCTAATCCGCCTCAGACACCTATTCTTCTCGTTCTATGACCTGCTCGAAATCTACTAGCCCATCTTCCGGCGATGAAAACTATATCTCTTTCAGCTATTTTTATTTATTTAAGGTAGAAAAAAATGTCACAAATGATGTGAAGCCAAATTAGAGTTGTAAAAAGGGTGTGATCCAGAAGCTCCACCAGTGTACTTCCAGGACATTCCCCGTTTTGACCACGGAGTGCGCGGGACGCTTTGTGAGCAAGCAAGCAGTGAAGCAGTAGCCCATGGAGCGCAGTGTTCGGCCGCAAGCATTTGATAGTATACCATTCGCCTTTGATGCTTCTTCGATTTAGTTAAGAAATCGGCACCAGAAATAACATCAAAGCAAATACTTCTTTCTTTATCTCTCTTGCCTTAGAAGGACATTTAGCCATATATGTTTGATATCGCAAAAAATAATTACGTAAAAATATTCCCCACGCAGATCCATACATAATTAACATAGCAAATAAACGATAGCTGGACAATGTTTGTAATTATGAAGTAAATGTGTAAAGTATACTTATCTAAACTTTTTTTATATGAGAGGTGGCAAACGAGCATGCTGCTCACCTGATGGGAGGTGACTACCGCTGCCCACGAGCAAGTGAAACACCAGAGGAATTGCAGATGCGTTGCCGACCTTTTAAAACAGAGTAGGATCTTTTCTTAAAGGTCCCTAAGTCGTATCAGTTCAGCGAAATCGCTAGTGGTAGTAGATTCCATAAGGAAGTTGTGAGAGTAGGAAAACTTCTTGTAAATCGCACTGTGGTGGACAGCCAATCATCTAGATAGTATCGATGGTATCTCGAGTTTTGTCGCGATGTTCGATGGTGAAACTGAGCGGCTGGATTATAGTGCGAACAATTCCTCTGATCACTCCCCGTGGTAGATGCGATAGAATACGCAAAGAAATGCAACATCCGATTAGAAAGAGCTCGATCACCGACGATGCGATCAAATGTAATGAACTAGCACTGGGGAGTTCCAGCTGAGAGATGGGAACAGTATTTTATATGAGGCCAAACCTGCGCCTTGTAAAGCTGCTGGCGGTGTGCTGGCATGAAATACTGTCCCACTCTGCAGAGCACGCCAAGCTTTTTAAAGGTCAATTTGGCCATTTCTTCCGAGTGATCACGAAACTGCTTCGATACGTCGACGCCGAAGATTCCGATGTAAAAATAATTTTTATATAAAATTTGGTAAAGGATTGAGTTTTATAGTATAAATCAGATTTGGGTTAAAAAGCTGTTCGTAGTAAATTATTGATAAGGACGGTAAATTCTTGACATATCATCCATACATATACGCACTAAATCGTAAAACAAAATCCGGTTTTAAGACCTCTGATATATCAGGTTTTCTTCACAGTCTTTGCATAATATTATTAATAGTTTGTAAAATGTTTATAGGTAGAATAAAATAAGATCGCGTTTATATTGTGAGTATACAGCACTGTTTGCATAACAAATAATGAAAAATAAAGAGTCTTTTTCAAGGTAAAAAGACGCGTGGAGCGTTCTTAAGTCTCAACATATCAAGCTTTATTTTACTACTTTAATGGCCAATCAATTCAAAACTTGCCTTTTATGAATAATTTTATTGATATTTAGATTTAACGAATATTTTTCGTTTGAAACTAAATGACGTTTAACGTTCAATAGGAATATTGATTTACGCCGTGTGGTGACTTTTGACGGCGTAACTCGACCGGCAACGAGAAGCAGTGTCAAAGTTGGGAGACGTCTGCTACTGTGATCTCCCACCTTTGACGACTAAGTGTGGCGATTATGATAAATCCTTTCCTCAACTGTAAAGATCGGTGTCCATCAGTAGACTATTTGAGTGCTGATAAAAATGTAGATCCTAAACTAACCTAAACGAAAACCAACTGAATTCTACAGAAAAGAACTATGTACCCATGTGCATGAATTCTAAATAAAAATACAAAATTTTAAAATGTCCCATCTAGTTATGAGATAGTTATCTGTGAAATGGGACAGAACCTTGCAAATGTCAAGTGGTCCGTAGCCTAAGAGTTATGTGCACAACGCCTGCTCTGTGATTTATGCCCATATACATATGTATTGCGACATATATAGTACATTTTAACTAATGCTTTTTGACCGCTATTGAAAACGACACGCGCTCTAGTCGCATATTCGAGATTTATGTGAAAGTTTTTGTTTTTTTTTGTTTCAGAACGGTGTTCGGAAGATGGTTATTGCCTACATATGTTGCAAGTGATATATTTGCATATAATAACAACGATACATGTGTATATTATATATAAACAAATATGACATAGCATTGTTTTGTTTTATTTAGTACCCTCGTTGAATGGCTACGTCTTGACGAAGTATTGTTAATTATGTTTATGTATACTACAAAATCTGAAACTTCAAAGATTCTCTAACGTAACATTCTCTGATTATGTTTCGTGCACGCTTTTGAAAGTAGCTACACGTTAATGAACTTAGTTTGTGCATACAACTATACCTAGTTCACAAATAGGCTTCATTAAACTCTCTCGCATCTGGAAACTAGCTAGAGCTGTTACAGCCTTCATAATGTTGTTCCCTCAGTCTCTACACCGCATGTCCCGGTAACATTGTTACGACGTAGGTTGGTTGTCCGCTATAGTTATGGCAGAACTTAGTAAAATGTGTGAGAAAATTAACAATGCTGTGTGATTTATGTTATGATACGTTATTTGTATTTCATAAGCCTATTGAAACCAGGTGTTTCAGTAATTTGCATAATAACAAAAAAAAATATATTTACCGTCTATAAGTGTACACAAATGCTTATTTTACCACTGATTGTCGTTTTTGACAGAAACTTTTCTATATTTTAGTAGTTAACTATTAATAGAAATTGAAAGTGGCATTTTAAAAAAAAGTGACAAAATTTCTTGAAAAAAATTACATGCTATAAATTTTGGAGGCATTGTGAAAAATGTAAGTAAGTAAATAGAAACATATTATGTAAGAAGTTTGCTCGGCCGTAAAGCCGTAGTGACTGCTCAACCATTCGCCGACGAAGAACATCTCAAAAGGAACGACCATGCGTGAATATTGACTTGGGTCCTAAGATAATTGTACTGTAGCAAGTTTCCAACGAAATGTTTACTCGAAGCAAATGTCACAGAAAGGAAAGGATCGATTTACGTACGTGCTTTCAATGATACTCAACATCTACTTGTATTTATGTAAAACGACTGTTTTCCCTGACTGTGTGCCACTTAATTTTGGCAAGGACTTGTTTACATAGCTCATAAAAATACTACTTTCATTTCAGTCTTTAGTTTTCTTTTTTGTAAACAGATACATTTAGTAAAGGAGATTCATGTCCTTGGCAGCTTAGTTTGTGCTAACTTCATATGCAAACTAATTTCAATCTCCAGAACCAACATCAATGAAATGCTAAATTGCAATTAAAGATGTCAGATAATGAAAGAAATATGTGTATCCTCAAATAAGACGTACTGAATTATTTCGTTGTCCGCCAGCCCGTATTGAAGAAATTTATTTCTGACTTGTAATCATTAACTAAATTCTTATTGCTTTTCTAAAAATTATACTTAAAAACTTTTTTATTTACCAAAAATATCTACCCATCGTCCATTAACTTTTTTAATCTAATGTCCAGTTTCAGTTTTCTACAAATATTATATCAAAAATGGATTAAAATATTTTATAAAGAATTCGATGAAACGCGAACAGGTTTATCTTATTATAGACTCTATTTTTCAACGCTCCTTACGATAACGTTAGGGAAATATAAAAAAATCACTTAGGCGCATATCAAAGCCCTATCGTCGATTTAAAACGCTCGTGTGAAGCTTGTAAAAAGGGTATTTACAGTGCCAAAAATTATACGAGTATATTATTACTACGTAACAGTGCTGTCAAATCTCTTATGAAATTCTATCTAAATTATTTAAAACAAAAACTCAAGTTTTGACCCAAAAATCCTACCACGTTTCAGTGGAAATTTCTAGTCACTTTCTTTTCACCCTTCTTAAAGTATCATCTTTATCATCATCATTACAGCCCTTCACAAGTCCACTGCTGAACATAGGCCTCCCACAATGTATGCCACAAAGCACGGTCCTGAGCCACCTGCATCCATCGACTTCCTGCATGTCTTACAAGGTCGTCACTCCATCTATTATTATCTTGGGGTATCTATATAATTTTCTCATCTGGTTGGGTTCTATAAATATATAATTTTAAGTTAAAATGAAAAGATAAATATACATAAATATCAATAAAATAAAATAAATACAAAAAATACATAAATAAATAAGATCCAACCAGATGGAAGCCCTCGGCAGGGGAGACCAAACGGCCGAGGGTTAGGAGGAAAGGGAAAGAAACCGGCGGACGATGCGGGCGGTATCGAGGAGCACCGCCTTCTGCATTTGAGACCGGAGCGGTCCGTCATGGAGTCCCAGTCGCCTCAGATGACCCGAGAGGCTGACTGGGATTAGCCCATTCACAGAGGCGACTACAGGAATAATTTCGGCCGGCAGACCAGCCCACATTTCGGTCACCTCGTGAGCCAGGTCCAGATATTTTGTCCGTTTATCTGTTTCGGCTTTTACGAGGTTCTCGTCAAATGGAATGGAATGGTAATGTCGACCAAAAATATTCCTGACTGTGCCCGGTCCATCAGCACAATATCAGTCTTATTCGCAAGAATATTCCTGTCTGTGATGATGGCCCGGTCCCAGTAAAGCCTGGCGCGGTCATTTTCGAGCACGGCTTCCGGCTTCCACGTACATGTAATACGGCAATTTCCAGTCCACGAGACCGTATTTCAGAGCGAGCTCCTGGTGTAGAATTCTGGCTACTAGGTTGTGCCTGTGCAAATACTCAGAGTTAGAAAGCGCCGAACAACCGGAGATAACATGCTTAAGTGACTCACCGGGATGGTGACAAGCTCGATAGACGTCGACGGTGCCATCCTTTAGGATGACGAGGCTGCCACTCGAGAACCTTTTTTCCCCAACGGTTGTCGGTGGAATACGTTGGGCTATGTCGGTCACTCTGGTTCTACTGTGGATATCCTCATTTCTAAGTTTATCACGCAGAGAAACTACGAGCATAGCCCTCTCCTTAGCTTGCTGAGTGACTTTGAGCGTCCTCATACGGCCAACAGTGAAGGACCACGTCTCGGTTCTGTCGGTTATCACTGACAACATGCACTGGTCGTACAGCTTAGTTTTCAGGTTTTGAGGTATACCTGACGAGAAGATGTGTCGTAATTTCCCGAACGCTGCCCAGTCGAGTTGAATCCGTCCATTGACCCCTCTCATTTTTGTCGAACCGTCGGGGCTCGACCAGGTCCACTTCCTGTGGGGCCGCTTCTGGAATAAAGAGTCCCTCTTTCTCCATAAACTCGACCAGCTGCTGGCCCCATACGGTTCCGTTGCCCTACTCCAAATTCCCCTAACTTCAGCTCATCGTTTTCTCTTGTGCCTAGTTTTGCGTTAAAGTCTCCCATCATCACCGTGTAGTAGGCTTTGGAGGAATGCATGGCTCTAGAAATTTTCTCATACATTTCCTACACCTACATCGGGATGTGCCGAGGTTGGTGCGTAAACCTGTATGGCCTTCAGTGAATACCGTTTTGTGATTCTGAGTATCAGGTACGCGACCCTCGTCGACACACTCCCAATCTTTACAACGTTGTTGACGAGAGACTTGTGGACGATAAATCCGACACCTCCTTGGGACAGATGGTCCCGGTGATAGAACAAGTTGCCGGACTCGAGGATTACCGTGTCCTCCCCCTCTCTTCGGACCTCGGATAATCCAATAATATACCAGCGCAAGTTGCCTATCTCTTCTTCCTACTCCAGTATCTTCTCGTCAGTCCTCAGGGTGCGTGCGTTGTATGTTGCCAGGTCGAGTCGTCGTCGGTGATAACCGAACCTCCACCGGAGATTCTTAGCACCCCCTGCCACGCCGTTACCATGGTCGCCACCGTAGCCAGGAATAGCGGGGCCGCCGGGGACTGGGGGCCTTTTGTTTGCGTCGTTACTCGGACGGATATTTGCCATAGTTGCCACGCTTGGCAAGCGGGTTGGCAACTGCAGTTTTTTTTATTATATTGTTGTTGTTATTAGGAAGATGTTACTGCCCATCTCCTACCTGTCTCCCTCTGTCGCCTCTTACGACACCCACGGGAAGATATGTGGTAGTCGATATTTTCAACTGCCACTACACGGCAAAAAAGTCCTTAAAGTATCCTCTTATGTAATTTGATTTTGGTTACAGTACAAACATGAACATTATATTAATTTAAAATACCAAAAACAGCGGTATCGTGAACGGTCTGATTACAATTCCCCCCAGGAACCTTCCATAGATCATCATAATCATCATCATTACAGCCCTTCACAAGTCCACTGCTGAACATAGGCCTCCCCCAAGTAATGCCACAAAGCACGGTCCTGAGCCAACTGCATCCATCGACTTCCTGCATGTCTTACCAGGTCGTCACTCCATCTAGTGGGGGGTCGCCCTACACTACGCCTACCGGTACGAGGCTGCCACTCGAGAACCTTTCTTCCCCATCGGTTATCGGTTCTTCGAGCTATATGGCCGGCCCATTGCCACTTCAGCTTACTAATCCGTTGGGCTATGTCGGTCACTCTGGTTTTACTGCGGATATCCTCATTTCTGAGTCTATCACGCAGAGAAACTCCGAGCATAGCCCTCTCCATAGCTCGCTGAGCGACCTTAAGCGTCCTCATACGGCCAGCAGTGAAGGACCACGTCTCAGATCCGTAAGTCATCACTGGCAACACGCACTGGTTGTACAATCTAGTTTTTAGAGATTGAGGTATACCTGACGAAAAGATATGCCGTAATTTCCCGAACGCTGCCCAGCCGAGTTGAATCCGTCGATTGACCTCTCGGTCGAAGTTGGACTTACCTAGTCGGACTATTTGTCCCAGGTAAACGTATTCGTCAACAACTTCGAGCATAGTGCTCCCAACAACTACCGGCATAGGTATGACATGGACATTGAACATGATCTTTGTTTTGTCCATGTTCATCTTAAGACCTATCCGTTGGGAGGCACTATTGAGGTCATTGAGCATAGTGCTTAAGTCCTCCAGCGATTCTGCCATAAGGACTATATCGTCGGCAAATCGAAGGTGAGTGATGTACTCGCCATTGATGTCAATACCGTATCCTTTCCAGTCCAGTAGCTTGAAAACGTCTTCCAAT